TGGGCCACCAGAGTGTTGGAGTCTAAACCTGGTGAGGAGAGCATCCGTGTGAAGGGATGGCTTGGTATGGGACATGAGAGCCTAAGTGAGGTAAGAAGGATAACGCATGAGGGTCTGTCTGCCTGGTGGGAGAGGTCTGTGTCCAAGCCCAGTGACGGGGTATCCACACATGGTAGGGGTTGGTGATAGAAAAAAGAGATTGGTTATGTATAGAGGGATTAATGAAATAAATTAATATATTCAGGATAATAGGAACCAGATTTCCTACCATCAGCGAAGTTGTTACAAAGATGAATGAAGAGATAATAAGAATGAACTCTGTTGTATTTAATTGGAGGTGTTAGTGTAAACTCATGGTTTTAAAAGTACATAGAAAAATAAATGTGTGCCTGTGTGTGTGTGTGTGCCCATGTGTGTGTGTGTGTGTGTGTGTGTGTGTGTGTGTGTTCCCGTTTGTCTATTGAGAGGTCCTAAGATCAGTGAGACCCCAATAATTATGAGCACATTTAACATCCAGGTCTCGGTTTCTGAATGCCATGCTACACTTAAAAGCAACTGAGATTCTTTGGAAAAATGGCTGATTCCAGAGTTGGGGCAGGGAAAACCTGGAATAGCTAGATGGACCAGAAAGTATTGAAGGAGATCATTGAGAGTATGTGACTGCGTCAGCCCATGAGCTAGACCTGGGCCATCAGAGGCTTCTTACCCTTCCTCTGTCCCTAGAATGTGTATGTCTGTCCACCATTCCCACAGCGGAAGCCATTTTCCAGGATGCAAACTTGAGAGAGTGATATGCCGTTGAGACCGTCTGGACAGTCTATGTGACTAAACCCAGTTAACGCCTGTATATAAACTTCGAAGATTCTGGTGGTAGGGAGCAGAGATCTAGTCATCTCTGGTTACTCAAGACAACCCTTGTAAGTAAGTTTTCTTGTGTATTAAACCTGCCACCTACCAATGTGGAGTTGTCTGCCTCTTTCTTTGGTTTCTTTTCACCCTCTGTGTATGGGGGCCAGTTTCAGACTTCACCCTGGAAATCCCCAAGGTTGCAAACCAACAGGAAGGGAAACTGATCAGCAAAAAACTGATAGGCACGTGTCAAAAGGACACAGAAGCCAGCGCGAAAGGCTTCCACTGCTGAATTAAAGACAATTTAAGCGTCAAAAAATAAGAAAAAAGATAATGGAAGCAAAAACAACAGAATAAAATTTGCCCTTCAATAAAAGCAAAGACAAAACCGCAAAAGTTGTCAGAATCAACATTTTTTAGAAGTTTGGAAATCAAACAAAAGCTTACAATAATTTAGGGAGTATTTAGTTAAAAAAAAAAAAAAAAGACCGAATCTCAGCAAAGAATAGTGAACTCTGTGGAATTTTAACTTACCCTGGTCCTATTCCCCACTCTCCAGCTCATAAGTAGCCTTGAAAAATAATAGTCTACATTAGGGGTACTGGAGAAAGAATAGAGTGGGAGCTCTTACAAAACATCTTCCCAAGGAAGTCAGTATTTGACCTGTCTAGTGGTTCCCCTGGAAGACCTCTCTCCAAAGGTTTGTCTGTACTTGACATCACTTAAACTTGTCCCATGCTAAAAGCCTCTCTCCAGGGGACACTTGTCAAATGTTTTAATATCACAGCTGCCTGAGGCAATGAATAACATTTGGGGCAAATAATAGCTGAACCAAAAAGTCTTAAAAGGAAAAATTAAGGAATGAAATGTCCTTAAGTGCTTTGAAAAGTTCTGACAGATCCCTGGGAATCTGGAATGCCACATGCATGCTTAGGGTTGTGTACACATCCAGGAAATATCTAAGAGGTCCCTAGGTTCTCACTTCTGGCTGACTTCAAGGCTCTGTGAAAGCAGAAGGTAAAGGCTAAGGCAGAGTCGCGACATTCAAAAATAAATAAAGCAGTGACGACAAACGGGAGGAAAAATCCGATTTCCATAGTTGCCATCTTATATCATTATATTATTTGAAATGTCTAGTTTTTAAAAAATATATGAGCTATATAAAGAAACAAGGAAATATTACTCATACACAGGAGAAAAAGTGGTGAATAGAAACCATCCCTGAGTAAGCCCAGATGTTGACGTTACTAGACAAAGACTTTAAATCAGCTATTTTAAATATGTTTGATGAACTAAAGGAAATATTATTTAAAGAACTAAAGAAAATTATGAGAACGATATCGCTAAATAGAGAATATCAATAAAGAGAGAAATTATAAGAGAAACCATATAGAAATTCTGGAGTTGAAAAGTACAATAACTGAAATGAAAATTTCACTGAAGAGTCCAATAACAGATTTGATCGAGCAGAAGAAAGAATCAGCAAAAATTGAAGATAGGTCAATTGAGATTATCCGTCTGATGAACATAAAAAAAGAATGAAGAAAAATTAAGAGCCTCGGAAACTTGTAGGACACCATCGAGCATATCAACATGTGCATAATAAGAGTGTCAGAAGAAGAGGAGGGATGGTAAGGGAGAGACAGAATATCTGAAAAAAATAAGGGCTGAAAACTCCAAAATTTGATGAAAGTGTTAGGCTACATACCCAGAAGCTCAAAGAATTCCAAATAGGATAAACTGAAAAGGATCCACACTTAGATGCATAATCATCAAATTGCTGAAAAACAGAGAATCTCGAAAGCAGTAAGAGAGAAATGTCTCATCATGTACGAATGATCCTCAACAGAATTAACAGCTTATTTCACTTCAGAAACCAATGAGGCCAGAAGGCGGTGGAAAGACATATTTGAAATGCTTGGGGGGGAAAAACACCTGTCAACCAAGAATTCTATATCGAGCAAAACTACATTATTCAGCCACAGAAAGGAATAAAGTACTGATATATGTGACGACATGGATGAAACTTATGCTAAGTGAAAGAAGCCAGACACACTTATTATTTTATATATATAAAATATACAGAATAGGTAAATTCATAGAGACAGAATTTAGATTAGGTTTCTGGGTCCTGGGGGAGGTGGGAGTGGGAGTGACTGCTTAAAGGGTATGAGGGTTCCTTTTGGGATGATGGAAGTGTTCTGGCTCTAGATGGTGGTAATAGTTGCACAACACTCGCAACATTATGAATGTACTAAGTGTTACTGAATTGTACGGTTTAAATGTAAATATTATGTTATGTGTATTTTAGCACAATAAAATAAATGAAGAGAGTCTTTCAGGAAGAAGCGAAAGAATACCATACAGTAAAGTGAATCTACATAGGTAAATATAAAAGACAATATAATCACTTTTTTGTTTGTTATTCTTTTCCCCACCTGTTTAAAAGGCAACCATATAACATAATAATTAGAAATCTAAGTTGATGAGCACACATGTATAAAGGTGATGTAATTTGTGGTAACAACAGCATAAAAGGAGGGGGAAATGGAACTATATAGGAGCAAAGTTTTGTGTACTATTGAAATTAAGTTGGTATTAATATGAACTGTATTATTATAAATTAAGGTGTTAATACTAATCCCCAGGGCAAACACTGAGAAAATAATCCAAAGGTATGTAGTAAAAGAAATAAGAGAATTTAAACGATACACTAGAAAATATCTATTTAATAAAAAGAATGTAATAATGAACTGAAGAACAAAAAAGACATGACATATGAAAACTAAATGACAAAATGGCAGATATAAACCCCGCCCTTTCAGTAATTACATTAAATATAAAAGATTTAAACTCATCAATTCAAAGAGATTGACAGAATGGATTTAAAAAGATAATTCAATTATATACTGTCTATAAGAGTTTATAGATATACATGTGAACAAAATCAACTCCACTTCTGTGGCTGGATTTTATTTCCTTTTTAAGTTTCATGCTGTGACCAACCTCACTGTCCTTAGCAAGCATATCAAAGCCTGCTAGTTGATGATTACCTGTGTTCCCCAAAATGTAGCCATAAAAATTTTTGTTAGTAACTGGCCAGGCTGGATTGGCATGACAACCTAGATAAATATCAAAGTGATGATAATATAGATTTAAACAGTCACCTATCACAAGAACCACCGGGAGATATGGCCCGTGGTGCTATTCCATTCTTTGTCCTTTTGTCTTGTCAATCATTAGTAACTGAGTTACACTACAAAAAAGTACAGTAACAGGGGCCTGGTAGCAGAGAATGATCTCCACAGAATTGCCGGGTGGTCTGCTCTGCTCTGACCCAATCTTCTGGTAAGTAAATTACCCTATAATAAATTCTGTTAAATTCTATGGAGTTGCCAGCATCATTCTTCTGTCTGAGGATACTTTCTCATTACAGGGCCATTACAACTTTCCCCACTGTCAGACAAAGAGATTTGCTTTAGATTAAAAGATAGTAACATAAAACTGACTGAACCGGATGGGAAAACCAGGAGTCCATATATAAATAAATTTAAAGTTTGATACACATAGTTTCAAAGTGACTCTCTACAAAATACCTAGTAATTACAAAGGGGGAAAGGGTAACTGCTTAGTGTAGTGGTTAAACAAGGACTCAGAGGTCAACCTGCCTGGGTCCAACTCCCAGCCCCATTACTTATGAGCTGTGTGACTTCAGGCAGTAGCTTGCCCTCTCTGTGTCTCAGTTTCCACGTCTGTAAAGCAAGATAACTGTACCTTTCTCATAGAGCTATTATGAGAACTGTCAGTGTCCCCCAGCCGAAGACCACCAGGAACACACCTATGGATGAACAAAATTAGGTTTATCACCTGTTGCAGAGAGGGAGAACACATATACTAAGTGATAATATTACTGTGTATTTATCATTGGGATAGACAATTTATACCCATTACCGGCGTACTGTATTAAACCTCACAATAACAATATGAGGCAGGGTCATTGTTCTATTTCATAGTTGAGGAAACTGAGGCTTCACTAAGGTGGGGCCAAAGTTCCCAGGACTGGATAGGGGTTGGAGCAGCGTCTTCTGGCACTAGCGTTGACCAAGAAGATTCTGCCCCCACCCTAAATGACTTCTCTAACAGCTGTGTCAGGCATTTCATCTCTCCCCCCACTTTTCCAAGAGGAAGTGGTATCCCCACCCTGTTTCTTGTTCTTCTTCCTGAGTTGGGGAGAAATAGACCTGAAGAAAGGCTGCTTAGGGCAATACGTGGGGTTATAAAAACCATAGTCCAGAGAGGAGTTGGCTAGAAGGGCAGAGAGGAAAGGAGGGTGACGGAGATGTGTGACCCCAAGGAGCCAGGTGATCCTCATGAGGACGGGCGCCCATTCTGGGGTGACGGTGGGGATGGCAGGGCTCCAGGGTCCTGGGGGAGTCCAGATCTGGACTCTGGCCTTCAGGGAGGGGAGAGGGTCTGGCCTCTGACAGGGTTCAGTGGGCTTCGAAGCTTAGCTGGGTATGTTCTGTCTTGTTCAGAGGAGAGGGAGATATTTCAAAGGCAGAGATCGGCGGAGAAATACTCTGGGCCACCCGGAAGATTAAGAAGCTTGATAGGTACTGTGGTGGGTGGTCAGCAGCAGGCACCTGGGAAAGGGGGCAGCTGGGAGGCCCCCTCCAGCATGGGTGGGGCGGGGCAGGGGCTGCCCCTGAGCCCCCAGTTCTGTCTGTGCTGCAGGGTGTCTGACCCAGGCCCCTCTGCTCCTGATTTTGCTTCTCATCTCCTTGAGTCTCTTCATGCTCCTGCTGACCACCCTGGTTCAAGGTGAGTCAGGGGCTAGAGGCTAAGAGTCCTGGGCTTTCCCTCTGGGATGGTCTTTGACCTTTTCCACAGTCCCCAAATCCACTAGGGCTGGGGCATTTGGGTTCTGTATCATCTCCTGTGTGACGGTGGGCCAGTTACTACCCCTCTCTGAGCCTGGTCCTCATCTGTGAAACAGTTCATCTTCTTCTAGGTGGGAGTGGGGGGGTTGGGGGCTCTCAGAGACCTTGAAATCGGACTTGGCACAGAATCAGGCATACAGTCGGTACTCATAAAGGAGAATTGTCTACTCTGTTGTAGTCTTCAGGATCCAACAATCCCTGCAGAGAGAGACAGACCATCAGGAGAGCCACAGACTGGGTGAGAGGATGGACACTGGGTTCTGGACTGGGAGAAGTCTCTGGGGCTGCGTGACCTTGGATGACGGGCAAGGGAGGGAAGGCAGGAGAGGAGGAGGAGGGGTCTGGATCCCTGCATGAGGTCCCGGGGGCCGGTGATGTCTAGCAAGTCACCCTCTAAGCCTGTTTTCTTATTTGTATAATGGGCTGTTGCAGTCACTGTAAGATGCAGAAATTCTGTTCTCATGGGGCCCTTTCTGCACCAAGCACACAGTAGGTGCTTAATAACTAAAATTCCCTTCTTCCAGCAGTTGTTTTCCAGGAACAGATGCAGTCAGACCTGCAGGAGATCCACCAGCAGCTGACCTGGATGAATGCCACCATGGGTAAGGCTTGGACATCAATGTCAGGAGGGAGTTGTGGGGTCATAGATAGGGCTGGGGCTCACCTTCCATGGTGACGACTGAGAACAGCAGGGCAAAACTGGAATTTTTCTCATGGGTCTCTCAGGGACTGAGCTGACAGCTGAACGAAGGGGTCCACCCCTGGGTTCTCAAGATCCAAAGCAGGCGTTGGGGGCTGGGGATCTGAATGGCTTTTCTCCCTAGCTGGCCAACCCAACCCTGTTCCTCCTCCGCAGCTGGCCTGTGCCGGCCCTGCCCCTGGGACTGGAACTTCTTCCAGGGAAGCTGCTATATATTCTCCCAGACCCGGAGCACCTGGAAAGCTTCTGTCTCCGCCTGTAAGGATATGAGTGCCCAGCTGGTGATCATCAACAATGCTGAGGAGCAGGTGCGTCAGGCAAGGTTCCTGTCTGAGACTGGGCCAGATGACTGGTCAACAGAAAGCCTTCTGTCACCTTCATCTGCCCTCTGAGAAATGGAGGTGTGGTGGGCAGCTGAGGGTGGCGAGAGATGCATTCAGGGAAGGCTTCCCAGAGGAGGAACCATAATGGACTTGGGAAGGACATGTGAGAAGAGCCCTTGTATGGGCAGAAAACGATCTCAGCAGAGCGCACGCCCAAATTGCCTGATCTGGGGCGGGAGGCTGATTCCTCCCTTGACACATACGTGAACTGAGACACGTGTTAACGTATTTCCATACATTCACAGCATACATGTGCTCATGAACACATACAATTTAAGTAGGGGCTATAGGCTAGACTGCAGCAAAAACTTCTGCGGGAGGCAGGGGGCTGTGGGCAGACACGGGATGGGTGGCATTCATGGATCTTCCTCCTAATGCCCCACCCCCTCCCATGCCCCCAGAAATTCCTGAAGTCTTGGGATGCCAAAAATAAGCGGATCTGGATTGGCCTCAGCGACCAACACAATGAGGGGTCCTGGAAATGGGTGGACAATAGCCCCCTCCATCTCAGGTGACCTCCCAGCGACAATGGCCTGGGAGGGGGAGGGGAGGGGAAAGGTCCGCGCTTCAAATCAGGGGTGCTTAGACTTTGGGATTGGGAAGTATCACTAGAGAAGCTGGGTGGAGATACAGAGTCCTGTGTCCCCCTGGCGTGGGGTGAGGGGTCTGATTCGGTAAGTCTAGGTGGGGCCCAGTAATATACATTTTTACTTTGCTAGAGCAGATTTGGAGGGAGGTGGTGTTCGAATCCACATTTTGAAAACTCTGCCTCTGAATTCTTCTCTTCCCTCTGGCTGGTTCTTGGAAATAGGCTTCCAAAGGCCATGGACCAGCTCATCCAAGAGTGGTTTGGGGCCGGAGGCAGGGGCGTGGGGTAGCTCTGGGTGAGGGAGGGGACTCAGCTCTCATGGTGTTCGCAGCTTCTGGAAAGAAGGGGAACCTAACAACCAAGGAGATGAGGACTGTGTGGAATTGTACGGTGACGGCTGGAATGATAGCGTATGTAACGCAGAAAACTTCTGGATCTGCGAAAAGCCCTCATCTCCGTGCCCTGGCCTCTGAGGGCCACTGCTACCCTCCCGCCCCAGATCACGCAATTTGGGCATGCGCTCTGCTAACTCTTCACTGGCCCGGCCCCACAAAAAAACCCCATCCCCCTACCGCTTATTTTTTTTTTTTGAGATCCTGAGACCTCTGAGACCTTCTTCTCCTAAGTCGCTTCCTCCAGAGGCTATCAGCCATCTCTTTTCTGTTAATGGTCTCAGCGCCCCTACTCAGCCCCCATGACGTCCCCTTAATAAAGTCACACAGTGCGGTTTGCCTTCCATTGTACTTACTGTCTATTCCTTTGTCACTGTTTCAGTCACTCTACTTTTGTAATATGCTTGATATACACTAGGACATTGTCTCCTTTCAGCGTTTCTCTCGACTACTGCGCATTTTGTTTTCCAGAGATAGTTTTGAATCAGTTTGTAATTTGGGTTGGGAATATACATATGTATGTATATGTCTGTCTATCTGTCCATTCGTTCATGAACCAATTATTCAGGAACCTTTAAAATGTCCTTCGGTAAAGTTTTATGATTTTTCTTCATATACGTTTTTTAAAAACATTATTTCTAGGTGTGTGTATTCATTTCCGACTGATGCTGTAACATAGTACTGCAAATTACTGGCTTAAAACAACCCGAATGTATTATATCTTGTGGTTCTGGAAGTCAGAGTCCAAAATGAGTCTCACTGGGCTGAAATCAGGATGTCAGTAGGGCTGTGTTCCTTTCCGGAGGTTCTAGGGGAAAATCGGTTTTCTTGCTTTTTCTAGCTTGCAGAGGCTGCCTGCACTTCTCGGCCGGTGGCCCCTTCCTCCACCTTCAGAGCCAACCACGATGACATTTAGTCTTTTACACTTTGCATCTCTCTAATCCTGATTTTCCTGCCTCCCTCTGCCACATTTAAAGGACCCTCGGTGATTACATTGGGACCCGCTGGATAGCTCAGCATGATCTCACTGTTTTAAGGCCAGCAGATTATTTTTTATCTGCAACCTTCATTCTCACTTTTCCATGTAGCATAAGATATTCACAGGTTCTGGGGATTAGGGCATGAACAACTTTAGGGGGATATTATTCTGCCCACCATTATTGTGCTGGATGGGACACATCTCAATGACAGATGGGAGTTAGGGGACATTCCCCCATGTCTCTCTGCTCTTGACCTAGACACCTCTGAGGCGTGTTCCACACGATCATTCGGAGGTCTGCAGCAGGACCGAGCCCTTGCTCCCCCAACAGTCCCCTGCTCGATGATGCCAACGCTTTCTCATGGCGTCCTTCCCTTCCCTGTGCCACTTTCCCACTTCCCGGCTGCTGCTGTGTGAGAACGACACTCCTTGCGTTGGAATCCTTGTTTCAAGGTCTGCTTCTAGGGGAACTGGATCAGATTCAGGTTGGGCTCACGTGACTCATTCTGGATCATGAGCAAGAATCTTGCCCGGTGAATGGACGGGCTGAGACTGGATCCACCACATCATTAGTGGACTGGGACATTTATGAGCCAGTGATCACCTCCTGGCACTCCCTGGTCCCCTGCCCCAGGCAACCGTGGAACTCACAGCGGTAACTGGAGCAAAATAGATTGGCCAACCTGCAACAATTTTAGCAAGAGTGCGTGTCAACCATGACTACACTGTGCTACATTGCTGAGATTTAGGAGGTTTCTTTTTGAGGCATACCAGATTCTTAGTAACTTGTCCATAAAGAAAGTCCAGAACCTCAGCTAACACCCACAGACTGGGTGTGTAGAGGAGAGCCCTCACCCCAACTCATTCTAGGAGGCTAGCACAATTTATTATTTAAATAATCCCAGTGAAATAAAAAAGGAGAATGGGGCGGGAGGAGCAAACTGCCAAACTGTATTGAAAACAAAAATGATCCAGGAATCAAGTTGACTCAATTCAGTTAATGACAAAAAGGATTCTCCTAACAAAAATTCCTCAGGTAATCATGATAGTTCTGACTTCTCAGCTTATGTTTGCAAAGATGGAATTAAAATATGCCCATGATAACTTCCAACCAAGATGTAGTAACAGGGTCTGGATTTACCCTCCTGCTTAAAACAAGTAAACAAACAAACAAACTGGACAGAATGTATGAAACATTATTTTCAGAAACTGGAAATAAGTGTAGTCCTTGAAAGAGGAGGAAAGAGGTGAGCCTTACAATTGCCCTCACGTGCTGCCCGGAGAGGGTTTCCCGGTTGTAATGTAGGGAGGGGAAACCCATGCAGAATTCACAGGTCCCCCGGATTTGAAGAAAGAGTTGGGATCTGCGGCCGGCCGAAGAGGCCGGGATTCACAGGGCGAAATTCTGAGAAGACAGCACTGCACAGAACCTGCAGAGAGTCCCTGTCAATCTTTGGCTGAGTTTTGATTGGTGCACGCAATCGAAGAAATTATGTGAGGCCAACAAAGAACCACACAAAAGGAATAAAAAGGAACACCACCAGAGGCTGGGAATATGGGAAGTCCACCATTTACAGACCTGTAATATGAGCAAAAAATAGCTTTTGTCATTTGAAGCCATTTGGGGGCGATTGGTTATTGCAAAACAACTTAAGCTGACTGATACATGCAACATGTCTGGGCACAGCAGCCCCACACGTCCAGCGATCAACATCTGAGACACTTTGCCAGGAAGGTTGGAGAATGATTCCTCACGTCTTCATAGCAGCCTTTACAGATGACTGGTCAGAGTGAGTGGTTAAATCCTCCAGCCCCCTTCTGGAAGGATGACTCTGAGGCGAAGTGTTCAGATTCAGTCGCCCACCAGAATTACTTGCTTATTGACATACTTATCACTGGTTTTCTTCTCTTCCAGTTCTCACTTCCACACTGCCTCACGCGCTTCCTGGGATCACCTACCAAATAAACCACACACGAGTCCCTGCCTCTGGCTCTGCCGATAGAGGAACCACACAGGCACAGATGAAATAAGAACTTCGCATAAAGACAAACACTGCGAGGTAGAGAAATGCTGGGATGCATTTGTTTATCTCTGTACTGTGAAATAATTTTAGACTTATTAGAGTCCGAGAAAGCAGTCCGAGAGTTCTCATACACTCTTCCGCCAGCTTCTTCCAGTGTTAACACTTTACGGCCACAGGACAATAATCAAAACCAGGATAGGCACACTGAGACACTACCATTAATCAAACTACAGCTCGTCCTTTTTCTGGTCCAGGATGCCACATGGCATTTAGTGGTCGCGTGTCCTCAGTCTCTTTCAATCTGTGACCATTCAGTGTTTTTATATCTTTTATGCCCTTAACATTTTTGACTACTATTGATCATTTATTCTGTAGACTGTTCCTCGATTTGAGTTTATCTGATGTTTTCCCCCTGTGATTAGATTGAGGTTATCCTTTTTTGGCAAAAACCTACAGAAGTGATGTTGTGTCCTTCCCAGTGCCTCATCTCGATGTTGATATGTCTTATTAGTGGTGATGTTAACCATAGTTACTTGGTTAAGGTGGTGCCTGTCAGGTGACTTTCATCCATGGATTTTGGCATCCATCAACAAATCTTGCCTGTGGCAATTATTATTGCGTTTTTTATTTTAAATGGTGTTTTTCTATTGCCCTTAATTATTTTACATTTATTAATCAGAATTCTTCCATAAAGAAGAAGTGTCCCTTCTCTCCCATTTATTTAAATATTCACTTATTTCCATCAGTATGTACTCAAGGATATTTATTTTATTTCATGGTTATAATCCAGCGCAACCAATATTTACTTTGTTCTAGCTTTGGCCATTAAGAACTTCTTCGGGTTGACTATTATGGCCTTCTAACATGCTCCCATCACAAGATGGTCCAGGTTCATTTCATATCTTCCCTGCTCCAGCTCTGGAATGAACCATTTCTCCAGTGGTTTCTTTGGTTAGAAACCAAGATCAATGGGCTAGTTATTGCCTTGTTTTGCTTTACCATTTAAGCATGTACGATTCAGTGGCATTAAGCACAGTCACAACGTTGTACAACCATCCCCACCATCCATTTCCAAAGCTTTCTCATCTCCAACTGACACTCTGTCCCCATTAAACACTCACTCCTACTCCCGCCCCTCCCCTCCCCACCAGCCTCTGGCTCCCACCATCTACTTTCTGTCTGGATTGAACTCCTCTGAGGACCTTATATGAGTGGAATAATACCATATTTGTCCTTTTGTGATTGACTTATTTCACTGAGCATATCTTCAAGGTTCACCTGTGGTTTAGCACATGTCAGAATTTCTTTCCTTTTAATAGCTGAATATTATTTCAGTGTCCGGATGGAGCACATTTTGTTTTTCCACTCATTTGTTGGACATTTGGGTTGCTTCCACCTCCTGGCTATTGTAAATAACTCTGTTATGAACATGGATACACAAGCATTTGTTTGAGTCTCTGCTTTCAAATTTTGTGGATCTATACTTAGGAGTGGAATCGCTGGATCATATGGTAACTCTATGCTTAATGTTTCGAAGAATTGCCTAAGGGTTTTCTACGCTGGCTGCATCACTTTACATTCCCATCAGCAATGAATGAATGTAAAAGGTTCTGATTTCTCCACATCCTTGCCAACACTGGTTATTTTATTTTTATTTTTATTTTTTTTGGAGAATAGCCATTCTAGCAGGTATGAAGTGGTCTCTCGTTGTGGTTTAAGTTTGCTTTTGATATTGGGCTGCCCTTTGCTCTAGGTCTTCCATGGAGGTAGTGCTAAGAGACACATGCATGCATACCGACCCATATATACACTTCTATATTCATTTCTGTATCTTCTTGTCTGTACGCATATTAAAAACCACGAGTTCACACTGATATCTCTACTTGCAGTCCCACACCACAGAGTTTACTGTAGCCATTTTCCTTGACTGATTTTTAACTTATTTCTCCAACAGTGAGAAACCTGGCTCTCATTATCCACAATAAATTTGCTAATTTTTAATCCTAGAATACACAGGAAGTAGTTGCCTAATTTCTAGCTCATGCCTCTGTGAGAAACAATCATTCTATAGTTGGAAGAAATGCATCCTCTCATAGATTATTCCAGAAAGACTAATGGGTACAGAGTTCTTTAACTTCTTGTGTATACTGGAAGGACAACTGGGCTAGGTGTCAAATTCTTGGTTCACACTTTTGCTAGAATTTTTGTTTTGTTTTTGTTTTTAAATGGTACTCATTGTAGTATTGGCTTGAATATTAATTTTTTCTTTTAAATATGGAACACTTCACAAATTTGCATGTCATGCTTGCAGAGGGGCCATGCTAACCTTCTCCATATTGTTCCAATTTTCGTATATGTGTGCTGAAGCGAGCACTTGAATATTAGTTTTGAAAAGTCTGATGCCAGTCTAATTTTTTGACTTTGTAAATTATTTCTCTGATGGACTCGAGGATTGTATCTTAATCTCTGAAATTAAATAGTTCTACTAGAATATTTCTCCAAGTTCACCATTCTGAGTAAATTTTCCCAGGCACCTGAATGGCCCTTTTGATGAGTAAATTCAGGTGATTTTTTTATTTCCAGAAAATTTTTTTTGATTATGGTTAAATATTAGCTCTGTTTAGTTGTTTTGTTTTTCTTCTTCAAGGACTCCAATAATATACACTTTTTTCCTTCAATGCCTCGAATTCCATTTCGATTAATTTCTCTTTGACTTCTTTTTTATTCTTTCTGCATGTCGCTGTCACTCTGTTTGTTGTTTTTCTGCCTTACTCCAATGCCCTTTATTAAATTTTCACTTGAGTCTATTCTCTCTCGGGTACCTTATAATTTATTCTGCATCTCAGATAATTCTTTTTTCTTCTCTTTCTTTCCTGAGTTGATTCAATGCTCTCTTCATTTATCCCTGATTTTCTCTTCTACTCACGTAAGCACTTAGTTCTATAGTTTTTGAGTTTTTGATGCAGGCTGATTTTTCATATACTCAAATGCTTGTCTGATGATTCAATTCCGTTTGGAGTATTGGCTTACAATTGTCTCCTACTTCTTGATTCGTTTTCGGGGGTGTGTGTGCTTTTTCCTTAGTTGATTTGTGTGGATTTTCATTTCTTGAATTTTTTTTTTTTTTTTTTTTTGCAATTAACGATACTCTCTGGATTTACTACTGTCCTTTTGTAGTTTTATCATTAGGGATGTTTATGAGATGCACAGCTCAATGGCACCCTCTCATGTCAATACAGCAAAATTGACATAATTTATTGGATTTTTGTTTGTTTTGTTGGTGGCGGGAATAGATGGAGGGACATCCGATCTAGACCTCCAATTTCGTCTTGAAGGACTCTAAATCTCCCTTTTTGTTTCTGTCCCACTTCACCATCCAATTGTCGATGAACTCTTTCCTTTTCCTTCTTGCATTTGCTTTCCCCAGAGCTAAGCATTTTGAAGCATCCATCCCTTTTCTACAGTTCACACTCTGATCTGTTCAGAGGTCATTGAATTGTTTTCAGACTTAGGGTGAGCTTTGTCTTTCTGGAGCTAGCTCCAGATCAACCCTATATTTCTTTGCTAGTTTCTCTCTTTCGGGTTCCCTGCAGAGTTTCTTCATTGCCACTGGGGCAGGAGTAGAGCAGAAGGATGAAGAATCTCATGCCGTGATTCCATGGTTTTTCTCTTTTCCTCTAGTTTTTTTTTTTTTTTTTTAAGTTGTGGCATTCTCTATCTTCACGTATGCCAACGATGTGGTTTTGTGTTGCTTTGCTTTCCCCAGTCCTTGTTAAGAGTTGCTTGGGAAGGAAATATTTGGGAGACAGGTATCTCTCACCATTTGTGGGACACCTGGAGATTTTTCAGAGCTGTTACGATACAAATGGATGATGTTATTAATACCAAAAGATGTGAGTAGCATTGGTAGTATTTTTCTAGGCTTACAGGAGACTCCCAGTTGTGCCAACCTTATTTGCCAGCCTGATAAGTGATCACAGCCAAACAGAGTAGGGGTGTGCAGGGGAGGGAGAGATTCAGGCAACGGAGATTACGGCATCAGTGAACATAACTGGCATTAGTAGACACATAGGGTACCAAAGAAAGGTTAAATAAAAGTTAATATTTCAGCGCTATTCATACTAGCCAAATGGAGAAAACAACCCACATGCCATCAACTGATGAATGGATAAACAAAATACAGCAGATCCAGACAACGGGGGTGTTGTTTAGAAATGAAAGAAATGAAGTTCTGACACACGCTACAACATAGAAAGACTGAAAACACGACACTCAGCAAAAAAAGCCAGATACAAAAGGTCATGTATTGTACGACTCCATGTATATAAAATATCCGAAGCAGACAAAGCTTTAGAGGCAGACATCAGATTAGTGGTTGCCAGAGAGGCTGGGAGAGGTGGAATGGGGAGTGAGACTAATGGGACCAAGGCTTCCTTTTGGGGTGCTGAAAAAGTCCTGGAACTAGATCATGGTGATGCTTGTACAACGCTGTGAATGTACTGAATGCTACTGAACTGTACACTTTAAAATGGTTAAAATGGTAAGTTTTATGTTATGTGTATTTTACCATTGTTAAAAAGAAGTTAATTTTCTCTGTCTTGGTCAGCCCACATGGACCTGTGACGAGGCTAGTCCATTACTCAACAACCCCAAAATGACAGGGTCCTCCCAAGTGCGAGAAGACTGGGCAGTCATTGTCTTGTTCACCTTCATGGCTGTGGGGGTGACCTCATGTCCCGAAACAGGGCCATTCTTCTCAGTAATAGATTCTTCTCGAATTACCAACAGTGGACCTTGTCTACTGACTTTTGCCTGGAAAGCTTCTTCTCTCTAGGGCAATCATGTCTTCATCCTTTCTTGTCGAAATCACATGGAAATGTCTAGATCCCCAAGAGCAGACAGATCAGCTTAAAGGGCTTTGCTCTTTATTCCCAACTAAAGCACTCCATGGCTGTCAGTATTATACTGTTATGGACTGAATGTCTGTGACCCCCCTCCCCCAATCAATATATGGAAGCCCTAACCCCCAATGTGATCATATTTGGAAGTGGGGACCTTTGGGAGATGATTGGGTTTACATAGGGTGGGGCCCTCATATGGGGTTAGTGCCCTTGTAAGAAGAGGGAGAGACTCCAGAGCCCTATCCTTCTCTGCCCTGCGAAGACGCATTGAAAAGCCAGGAAGAGAATCTGCTGGCGTTTTGATCTTAGACTTCCAGTCTTCAGAACTGTGAGAAATAAATGTCTGTTACTTAAGCCCCGCAGTGTATAATATATATATATTTTTTTATAGCAGCCGAAGCTGACTAAGACACATGCCTCTCACTCCATTTCTAAAAGCAAGGCTATTAAATTGTCTCCATGTTTAAAACTCATGGCTGGTTTTGTCCTTTTCATCTGTGAGGTCAGGTTGCGTCTAGTTGTAAGCAACAGAAAACAACACAAACAGGCATGAGCAAATGAATAAACGACTAGTTGTCCCAGGTGCCTGAAAGTGCTGTTTTAGAGTGAGCTCAAAATGCTGCTAAGGACCTCATTTATGCCTGTGCACCATTACCTTCCATGGTCTCAGATTCGTGCCATGTTGCAGGTTGAGTATGTGTTCACTTGTGATGAAATGTGCTACCAGGAAGAAACGAGGGCTTGAATGAGAAGTTAAACCCAGTTATCAGAAAAGAAAAACGCCCTGTTTTCCCTGAGTCTCATTCAAAGCTCACCGAATTGGACTCTCTTGAGAGTGAATCTGCATTTTTAATAAGCACCCCAAGGGAAATTCAAAACCACAGTGAGATATCACTTCACACCCACTAGGGTGGCTGGAATCAAAAGGTGGTAACAAGTGCCGATGAGGATGTGGTGACATTGGAACCCAGCAAAGAGTATGAGAGAGAAAAGCATTAACACCATGGGAGCAGCCTCTAGCCCAGACGCTGTAGGGAGAGAAGGATGGGCAGTTCCAGTGAGCCTCTGTCCCTGCCTCAGCCTGCCCCAGGGACAGCGTCCCCTACCTCTGCCTCTCCAACTCCCAGGAGTCCAGGAAACCAGCCTCTACCTCCCCCAGATCCCAGGTGTCTAGGCCCCCACCCGAGACCTCCCTCAGCCCTGACCCCTGTCCAGCTAGCTGCCTGGGTCTTTAGGTTACTTGTCCGTGGGATCCCAGGTCTTTTGAGGTAAAGCTCTGTTCTCCAACTGTCACCCCTGGCTCCACTGAACCCACCAGCTTAGCATCTGCTCAGCTGCCACCCCACTCCGGCCAAGCCCCCAGGAGCCCACAGCCATGCCCAGCTGTACCAAGAGTGCCCAGCTCCGGGCCTCCCTCGCTCTGAGGTCATCCTTGGCCGCCGTCTTCTCCTTTTTTCTGCTGTACTCACTTTCCTTTCTTGGGACAGCTTCTTTCATGTTCCCACCCTGTTCTGCTCCAAATTCCACCTCTCACTCTGGAACCGAAACAAAGGTGGGCGGGGGAAGCCTGTGGGGGAAGAGGATGCGGCGAGCAGAGGAGGAGCCGGGAAGGGCAATGATGCCATTAGAGATGATGTTTCAATGTCACCTTTGCACACCGCAGGGTGACCTCCAACTGGCCCCCAGTTGCACCCTTTCTTTCCTCTCATCCACCCTCCTCCTGCCTCCAGGACTTGATTCAGGGTCTGGAATGTTGGGAGACGAGGGAGTCTGCTGGGAGGCAGCCAGAGCAAAGGACCGACCTAAACCTTGAACTTCCAGACAGCTAGACAGAGCAGCTGCCGACCTGGAGGTGTGAGCAGGGTGAGGGCCGAGGCCCTGCTGTAGGCTCCGCCTGACCAGACCGCCTGGTTCCAAAGCCAAGCTCTGCCACTTGGGTACTGTGTGACCTTAAGCCTTCTCCTCAACCTCTCTGAGCCTCGTTTGCACGGTTGTGAAATGAGGATAATTATAGCATCCACCGTGCAGGGTCATTGTAAGGATTAAATTAGATAACAGCAATAAAGTTCTTGGAACAAGAGTATATATATATTTTTTTAGTTTTAGGAAATTGTTCAAATCGGTGAGATATTTCATGTATGAACGAAAATTTGTACTTCCGAAACAAAGTCGCACTGCTATGAAAGCAGGGTGTTCCCTGCTTCTCAGTGTGACCTGGAAGGTCCCAGTGTCCTCCTGTCCTCACAGTGTAATGATTAGAGGCAGGGGGTGGGGGCAGTCCACTCTGGTGCGATCCACTGAGCCATTGTCATCTGTAGAGAATTTTTAAATGACAGTAAAATAGACTAAAAGACAACCTGCTCATTATTTGCACGCCCCGGCAATTCTAAACAACATTAGTGATAAAACGCTCCTCTCCAAAATTTTTCATAACTCTAAATTCTAAACAGTTGCTGTGGTTACTGTTACGTGTTCTTAAAAATTAAAATATAAACCAGATACCATAAAATTGACCCTCTGAAGTGTATAATTCAGTGGTTTCTGGTATGTTTGTGGGCTGTGCAATCATCATCTAATTCCAGAACATTTTTATCACCCAAAATGAAACTTTGTACCCATTAGCAGTCACTCCCCATGATCATCAACTACCATTGAGGTTTTTTTTTAAAAAAATTTTAAGATAGCCATTACAATTCTGTTAAAGATCATTGCAACCACATGAAACGTACTGACATTAGCCTAACACTAACCAAATACGCATTGTATAATCTAGACTGATGATAACTTTAGCTAGACTAGGGCATTTTTTTTTTGTTACCATTGAGTTTTAACAGCATTATTTGTAAGCTTCAAATGAGTACATTTTTATTCCTTTCTTCTACAGGGAAGTAAATTCTCAGAATTCCCAGATGTGCAATCAACTGCTGATGTGGGCACACTCAGTGACACACAGGTTTTTAAAAATTATTTTTATTACGGTAAAATATACATACCATAAAATCGACCATTTAAACCATTTTTAAGTGCATATTCATAATATTGTGCAACCATCCCCGCCATCCATCTCCAGAACTTTCTCATCCTCCCAAAGTGAAACTGTGTCCCCATTAAATACTTATTCCTCTCCAACCCCCCAGCCCATGGCTCTCGCCGTCGACTTTCTGTCTCCATGAATCTGACTCCTCTAAGGACCTCACGTGAGTGGAATCTTAAAGTATCTGTCCTTCTGTATCTGGCTTTTTTCACTTAGCATAATGTCCTCGAGTTCACCCATGTTGTAGCGGGCATCAGCATTTCCTTCTTTTTGAAGGTGGAATAATGTTCCATGGCTATGGATAACTGCATTTTGTTTATTCATTCATCCGTTGATGGATACAGGTTGTTTCCACCTTTTGGCTATTGTGAATCATGGTGCTATGAACATGAAGTACAAGTATCAGTTTAAGACCCTGTTTTCAAATTTTGGGGGGTACGAGCCTAGCAATGGGGTAATTCTATGTTTAATTTTTTGAGGAACAGCTAGCTGCATCATTTTATATTCCCATCAGTAACGCACGAGTATTCCAATTCTCCACATCCTTATCAACATTTATGTTCTGTTTTTTTGTTTGTTTGTTTTGTTTTTTAAATAGCCATCCTAATGAATGTGAGGTAATATCTCACCTCAGCTTTGACCTGCATTTTCCTAAGGAATGGCAAAGTCGAGCTACACGCAGCGTGAGTTTGTACAGATCAAGAATCACTCATTGGTGTTCCCTTGAAGCAAAGCTCAGGTTCCCAACTCCTGTGGTCCTACAGATTCTTCTCTTTAAAAAGGACATTTGAAATATATAACAAAATCTCAGGTAGTAAAAACAACAACAGAATTCGAGTCACTCTACTCCATCATTCTGTGTGAACACTCAAAGATGTTTTATTCATGTCTAACATTTAAAACAGTGGCATTTCAAAAAGAAAGAACAATTCAGAGTGTAATGTTTTTGTTGGTAAGCTCAAAATTTGGTTCATACATGAAATACATTAATGAGTTTGCTAGCCTTAAATTTTGAAAAAGTGCTATTCTTTAATTATTAACTGTTTTTCTTTACTTTTTCTTTTGAAATAATGATAAAGTCCCAGGAGGTTATAAAGGTAGTCCAGCGAGGTCCCGTGGACCCTTCACCCAGCTCTCCCCAACGGTGACATCTTACGTAACTACAGTACACTCTCAAATCTAGGAGCTGGCATTGGTATAATATATGTGTATAGGACTGTGCCATTTTATGTGTACAGCTCACAAAACTTTTACCTATGATGCACCCACATAACTGCCTCTCAGATCAAAATACAGAACATTTCCAGCACATAGAAAATTCCGTGTACCCCCTCCTAGTCAATCCCCACCACCCCTTCCAGTTAACCCCAATTCTGAATTTCCATCAAACTTTAGTTCTTCCCGTTCTTGAAATTCATATAAAATCAAATCTTACAGTGTATGCTCTTTATGTCTGATTCTTTTGCTTATGTGAGATCCATGTTGTTGCATGTGTCTATCGTTTGCTTTTCATTGTTATATAGTGTTCCACTGTATGAATATGACACAATTATTTTTTAGTCACCTGCTGGTGGTCACTTGGATTTTTCCAGTTTGAGACTATTGTGAATAAATCTATGAACTTTCTGTTTCCTCTTTGTTATTATTTATGCTTTTTGGATAACAGTGTAGACTGTGGAGGTAGACTGTCTGGGTTCAAATCCCATCTCCAGTATTTACCCAACTGTGTGACCTTGGCCCCGAAGCCTAACCTATCTGTGCTTCATTTCCGCTATCTGTAAAATGGTGGGTGTATTATCTATCCCCAGGGTGGGAAGAGTAAATGAATTCATATATAAAGTAGTTAGAAAAGTGCCCCACTATAGTACACATTAAATAAACATAAGCAATTCCGATTCAGCTGCTATTCTCAAAGTCAGCAGAAATCACCATAAATGTGGACATCAGCAAGCCCAAGCAGCAGGGCCCAGAGGTCAGAGGGGACAGTGGTTCAAGGAAGATCGGAGGCACCACCTGCCCACCCTGCCCTATGTGGAGGAGGCATAATAAATTAGCTTTACTTCCCATGTCATGAGAGTTCATCAGAAAGATCCCAAGCCAGCTGTGCCATGACCGAGCTGTCGACCTCACCCCAGACCTGGCA